AGTATTAAAGAAATGAAAAATGCGCAAGGTGTTTTAATTTTTTGCATCAAAACGGCACCGCATACGAAAAATCTCCTAAAACGAACGAAATTTCATTTTCTTATCTCGACCGGTTTCTGAACAATGAATACATAGTCGGTTTTTAAGAAAAACTTACCGGTATCTCGGAAAAGAGTCATTTGATGACATACAAATAATAAGCAAACCGTCATAATTTTTCATGCAGAATCACTTCCTGAATTTTGTCGCACTTATTTACTAAGACCCTGTAAAATATTTCTATAACAGCAAATTAGACTTAAAACTTAAATTTTAGTTAACGACTAATTGATTACATGTACATACTTGATGCTTGAGTTTTAGGCAACTCGGTCAATTGAACCACTACTTGAACTGGATATTTTAAGAACTATTGCTGATTATCACGAAGGATAGTTAATATGCAAAACTTCAAATTAATATTATATTGCTACTTTTTTGGCCATAAGCGCTGATGTCTAGTTCTGGGTTCGAACATCGGCTAGATAAGTTTCGGTTGGTCGATGGTCGCAGATAGTTTGATAAATACTATAAAGATATCTTATAAGCGGTCGCAGATAAATACATAATTTATAAAAAATGAAAAAAACAAGAGTTGAGGTGCGCCAGATAATGGCGTCAAGCCGCGTACATACCTGACGCGACACGACAGCGACGCGCTCGAGATTTGTAGCAATTCATATATATGGTCAGTTTTGGGACGAAAGATCAAAGGTAAATCGTGTCGCAAAACTACTACAACACCTTACAATATTTACAAACATTTCAAACATTGAAAATGTGCAATAAAACTAGGAATCATTTATACCAAAACATAGCATTATCTTTAATATTTCGAATGAAGCACTCTTTATAAGACGGCATTTTTGAATTTGCAATTACTGCCTGAATAAAGGGCCTTCTATAGGCGGTAATTTTATTGCCCGCAACTTTCTTGCAAGCAATATTTTGTTCTACGCTTGCGCATTTTATCTGTCCTCGGGTTGTCGGCAACCTTTTATTGCACTCGCCGGCTATGGTTCCGAACCTAAAAGTTTTTGCAGAAAGCAGCAATTGTAGTGACTTTTCTGGTTCTTTTTATGCTGCCAACTGTTCACTCATAGTAATATAAATGACCAGCACTGGCATGTTTGCTTACTTTAATTTTTTTATCAAAATAAACTCGATCTTAAGTTAATCACACGTGAATAGTTGGTACGCATGATTGATTTGTCTAAATATATGAACATAGTACTAAAATTATAGCTGCAGGAAAGCTGCGGGCAATAAAACTGCCGACTTTAAAACGCCCTTAACTACGTTCAAAAGATAGTAGATGTGGGACAATAATGACCACTTCACTTTTTAATTTTTACCGATGTTTCGACATTTTTTGAAATCTTCTTCAGGGCTAGCAAAGCTAACAAACATAAAGACGAAAAACGGCCTTGGCTCAGCATCACTTCCAGTTGAATGATGAATATATGTGATAAATAATTAGTGCCTTGTCCTAGGGATGCATGATGCATGCACTAGAATTAATATTTATAAAGGGTGATTCAGAATTGGCATCATTCCTTTCAAGGGGTAATATGGGCTCACTTGGAGGGTACGAAAAAAATATTGAAATTATTGTTGAGATATCAACAAGTTGAAAATCGAATTTCAACTTTGTTATTAAGCATTATTTTGAAATAATTCTACGATTGATTGGTAGTCCCTATTGGAATACTTAATCATTCGAAAATATAAAAAAATGTATATAAAAAAAGTTTTCTTCAATTGTTTGATGAAAAGTCAAAGCGGCCATGATGCTTTCTCTCATTAACAGATAGTTACAGGTAGATAGCCTTTGTCAAACTGTGACTTGGTTTGAAGCTGCTTTCACAACATGCGCACCAACTTTGAATTTGCGAATATGCGATTAGTTATGGGGAAATGCCACAGTAACATAGCAGAAGCTGTAAGGACTTACAAATGCATAGAGCTAGAGACACTGGAAGATTGGCTCCAGGAAGATGTATGTAAGATACACAGAACACAAGGACACATTAAACTAATTGTTTACTGAACACCGGTACAAATTGAGCAGGAGTTTATTAATCGAATACGAAAAGCTGCTCGAGAAGAGTGCATATTAAGGTAGACAGGTACTAACTTGTTTGGAGTTAAAGACATAAATGCATACAAGTTCTATATTGTTGAGGCGGATTCATTTTTTTAAACTTCTTGTTGGGTATTTCGCCTCAAAAATGTTTGCCTTTAAAAAAGACCGAATCTTCTCATGTATTTTATTGCAGATTGATAAATAGTGCTCCTATTTCGCAATAAGAACGAATTATTTATCAATTTATTTGATTTGATTTGAAGAACTATCACCTAGAGGGTATCCTGCGACACTCTTAGGCTCAAGCTGTAAGAGAAAATTCCAATGAGTAAAGAAATTAATTTGAAAAATTACCTTGACGCTTCGATAGCTATTTTCTGCTATCGTTATCAAAAGAACCTAAATGAACCTAAGAAAGAGTATGTTAATAATATGTGTAACAATAGTAGGGTAATACAGTATGTAAAAATTTGCTGATAATTCGTCTGTGCAAATTGTCAGTTGTGTGACTTTTTTTTACGCAAGGTCAAGGTAATTGTTCAAATTAATCTCTTTACTCACTGGAATTTTCTCCTACAGCTTGAGCCTAAGTGTGTCGCAGAATACCCTCTAGGTTATGGTTCTTGACTACTTTTTAATAAATAATTAGTTCTTATTGCGAAATAAGAGCACTATTTATCAATCTAATAAAAGACGTAAGGAAATTCTGTTTTTTTTAAAGACAACTATTTTTGAAGCGAAATACTCAACAAGAAGTTTGTAAAAAAACAGAAACGCATGTTTATTTGTGTACACATCAATTCGAGGTTATGATAACAATAAAAAATAATATCTTGTTGACAATATTGACAATTTAAAAAAATTTAAAGAGTACGTTCGACATTTGACGATTGCTGTTGAATTTACCTTTTATTCTCTGTATTTTATTGTCACTATCTGTATTTTTCCATGGTTACCGAAGTTTTTAATAATTACGAAGCACACAGGTATTTACGTACTGTTAATTAAACATATTACCTTGAAAAACATTGGTGCCGTCTTTCTGATATAGTTGTTTTACAAATTTTCCAGTTTTAATAACAATTAATTTTAATTTTAATCATAGTAAAAAAATCACAATCACAGTTATTCCAGTGATTTTTAATTGATGCTAAAGATGAGATACTCTACTTTTTGTACCTACTAATTCTCTTACCTTTTTTTCTCGTATTTCTCTATCATAAAATCTCTAACTAGTTGCTCGTCGGAGAAAATCGGCGGTGTACCTTCGTATAGACCTAACCAGACTTTCTTGCAAAAGCCGTTACCTTTGCTTCTAAGGGTTTCAATTTCGTCTAGGGAGAAAGTTGCCATTGATATTGACTTTACTCTGTGTGGAGGAGTGATTCCGCGCCTAAAAAAACCAAATTATTAGTTTGGAAACATAAGTTATTGATAATCATGTTTCTATATTCTATAGCAATTGGGTCGATGTCTACAATCCGATTGTCTGTGAGAATGTTTAAAGAAGTCGTTTGTAGAAGTTGTTTACGAATAGGTTATGGCAGGTCCAGAGGCACTATGCGCCCCCCTCCGTTTTGCGCAGCATGTTTTCTATTTCAACAGCACAGCGCAGAGCAGCGCCCTCGGTCTGGACTGGGCTTTAGGCTAGTTTATTCAGAAGAAATATCCATGAAAATTTGAAAATGCCATCCGACTTTCGGGATATTGTTTTTAACAATTATTTTCCAATGAATAGAACTTAGCTTAACGAAGGACATGAAACGATCAAACTATTTACAAATTGAATCGGATGAGTGTAATGCTCAGAAGCCGATCCTATCCGATATGCGCTCCTGTTGACTACTTAGCTATTGAATGTCTCGTAAAAAGTGCCAATTCGCGCACGACAAACTGCATCTGAACCTCAGATTAATTAAACAGATGCATTTGTTTGCGTTTTTCGACGTAGGTACTTATGAAAGCTGCTTTTCCGGCTCGTTAATCAATTTGATATACAAGATGCCGCGAAATTGTTGGTCAACAATGATAGGGCGTACAGAAGACCTGAAAATAGGGCCAATACTTCATATAAAAAAATTCCGATCTGGCTTCCTTATATAATTATTGTCCGTCAAAGTGACAAGTTGAAAAATGAAATATATTCTTAATTATTACACAGTTTATTAGTCGTTCGTAAAATTTTTGCAGCAAAAGTAGCCCATAGATACTCGTCTGTTTTAATTCGAAACTTAAATTTTCCGGATATACAGTGTGTCCAGTATAAAATGATGTACATGGGGATATTGGAAACCGTTCAAGATACAGAATGGACCAAATGGGGAAAAAGTTGCGCAATCAAGTGCCTATAAATAATATGTCATCACCTTCTTTGAACTCGGAATAGCAACGGATGTACAGGGAAAAAAGTGCGTGTTATAAAATCCTTTATATCGTGTTTATTATAAAAGACACAATAACGAAATTTTCAGGGGGTGGAGGGGGGTAAGAAATGAACGTGAATTTAAAAATAAAGTAAAAAATAATCTAGGCCCACCATGTTCAATGAGGCCGAAGTCAACTTTTGTTTTTCTTATGGGCGCCACATTGAATATTTGCATTTTTAAATTCCCCTTTAAATATGCTCTTCAACCATGTTTATTGTTATGTATAACATGTTTATGTTCGGTCAAGATAAATAATTAAAATTAACAAAATTAATATTTTATGGTAGTAGACATTGATATTTCTCTTCAATTTCCCCATAGTGACGTTCGTTGTCTGTTTTAATTACCTAGGTAACTGTCAAAGTAGAATTTATTGTCAGTGTCAAGTGTTATTTCAATAAAGAAAATTTGGTAATGCAAAGCGTGGTTGAGACACCTCGTACGTCTTTACGTCAAATTGAAGCGGTCAACGGCGAATAGTATTTTAAAGCGTCATAAATATCACCCCTATCATGAACGGCCCTGTCAGGGACTCCAGAATTGCGAGGCGATTAGAAGAATGGCATTTTGTCAGTGGTTAATTCAAAGAAATAACGAGATACCAAACTTTTCCTTAAAAGTCCTTTGGTCAGATGAGAGCCAATTTACTAAATGTGGACAATTTAATCGTAAAAATACCGTTTTTTGGTCTGATGTAAATCCACGGCTAGTTCATCAAGTTAGGTTTGGATTTAACGTCTGGTTAGGTATTGTGAGTACCCACGTGATTGGAACACTTTTTTTAATGAGAACTTAAATTCCGAGAGATATTTGAACCTCTTACAAACTAACGTAGCGGAAGCACTTATGGATGTTTCAGTAGCTACCCTGCAAAACGTGTATTTCCAACAAGACGGTGTGGTATACTGTAGGTCATACGAAACCGAAGAGGAGCTGCGACACGCTGTTATAGAAGCTGTTAACAGAATTACCCCAGAAATGATCAGAAAATCATGTGAAGCAGTAATGAGAAGATGTATGTTGTGCGTGCAAGAAAACAGTGGCTTATTTGAACACCTACTTTAATCGTAAAATGTTACTTGTCCTTTTGCAGTGTTCGATGTACGATCAATATAATTTAAAGTAATAATTAATGGAAATATCAATGCCTACTACCATAAAATCTTAATTTTGTTAATTTTAATTATTTATCTTGACCGAACATAAACATGTTATACATGGTTGAAGAGCATATTTAAAGGGGAATTCTAAAATGCAGAAATTCAATATGGCGCCCATAAGAAAAACAAAAGTTGACTTCGGCCTCATTGAACATAGTGGGCCTAGATTATTTTTTACTTTATTTTCAAATTCATGCTCATTTCTTACCCCCACCCTGAAAATTTCGTTATTGTATCTTTTATAATAAACACGATATAAAGGATTTTATAAAACGCACTTTTTGCTGTTTTTCCCTGTATATCCGTTGCTATTCCGAGTTCAAAGAAGTTGATTATTTATAGGCTCTTGATTGCGCAACTTTTTCCCCATTTGGTCCACCCTGTAACTCTAACGGTTTCCAATATCCCCATGTACATCATTTTATACTGGACACACTGTATAGAGGCCCGTTGGGGGTATATTTTAAAATTTAAAATTATTTTCTAATATACTGGGTGTATTCTGCTCATCGGTAGTCGAATTCGGGAATTAATGTTCCTCAAGTGCCGTGTCCTCCCAGACTATTGGCGATCAGTCGCATGATCTTCACTTAGTCCACAGCCGCCCTAAAGAGTGGTGTTTACTCCATACTTTCGTTGAATAATAATGTGGATCAATTCGTATTTCGGATTTCTCATTACGTAGGCAAAGTACTTCAGCGTTCTTCTTTTTATGGCATTTTAAGTACCTCTTTTTAATTTATTCATATGCCGTAGAACCGCTTCATTCGTCATCTTGTCGTGCATCCACGATATCCATAATTCGGAAATATAAAAATTTTTATCTAACATTACATATGAGCACCGTATGTGGATCGATCACCCTGACAAATTTTATATTATTCCATATTATTAGGTCATCTGGTACACAGGAAGCAAAATAATGCGAGACTGATGAGTTATTTATTCGTCTGTGTTTGCTCACCCGCAACATTTACGTTATGCATAGGCACCAAAAGATAATTTGGATGCTTTTAGTAATTAATAGGATTTAAGTATTGATAGTAGTTGAACGGCACCAAGTTTAATCATTTGGATATTGCGTGTCGAGTATTAGTTTGTTTTCAAAATATAAGAAAGCGGTTCGATAGGTCAACACGTAGTTTATGGTACAGGGTTATTGATTGTATTTTGGCCACCAGACTAGTCGGCTAGTTTATCTTCAAATTATATCTGCTAGTGGTGCCTCAAATTCAAGTAGCAGACTAAACTCACATACATAAAAAATACAGTGCTCTACTTTTTAATGCACGATTCGAACTGCACGATAAACCGTCGGCCTATTTGATGTGAATATTCCCTATTGATGTTCTACTGTTTTGGAGTTAAGAATATTTTTATTATTAACATAACATTACAAGTTTTTTAAATCTGAATTTAAAATAAAAAATGAAAATGTTGATATCTGGATTCGACAAACGGGTCCTATCCAATGGCCTTCAAATAGCCCCGACCTAACGCCTCTTGACCCTTTTCTCTGACGTTATTTATGGGACTCTAGTTAGACGCTTTAAAATAGTGGATGCAATTAACGATATTAATCATAACCAATATATTCAAAACGTTATAGATAAATTGAAGTAGATTATAGAGCATTCGTTACCGAGGTCACATACAAAATCAGTGATTTTAATGGTTTTGTTTTTATTTATTTGTTTTTACAAGCTTCTTTTTGGGTATTTCGCCTCAAAAATTTTTGTCTTTAAAAAAGACAGAATTTCCTCACGTCTTTTATTACAGATTGATAAATAGTGCTCCTA